AAATGTATATACGAAATAGTGATGGGGGTAGGGGATCTATGTATTGGTGGTTACCAAATACATGAGCATTCTAATACCCAAGCGTTTGCATCAAAATTATACTGGGGAGTTTCTCGGTGCGATTCGACACGCAGTTCTCGTAATACACACTCTGGAGTTCTTCCCTTCCATGTGAAAATGAGGATGGTACAAATGAGTGAAACAGGAGTGCCGAGTCATGTAGGTTTGAGGAGGACAGATTATCGGTGTGTGAGGGGGGGAGGGGGAGGGGGGGAATTGCTGTGGAGTTAGACTTTCAACTCAGTGAGAAATACGATGCGAGTGTAGAGATGAGGTCCGAGACTCCCTGCGTTCGGCACATTGACGGGTTACATAACTCTAAATCTGTCGGCCATTTTGCTAACTCGCGTCTGGCGCCCTCCCCACCCCACTCCCTATCCTATTAACCAAAAAAAAAAATCATTCGGATTGATCAGCACGCGGTGAAAAATTCCTGAGAAGAATTTCAGCGCCGCCGCGTGGAGAGAAATATCCACGGAAAATTACGGGTTATGTAGACTGAGAAAAAAATTTTCTTTAGGTAATAATATTTGTAATATTTTGGTACCATCAGGTAATCTGGTAATCACTGTGTAAATACTCCCGTAAGACTTGTGCCGAATTTTTTTTCTTGTGGTTAGTCAATATTATTGACTAGAAAATTTAAAAAAAATTGGAGATAATTATAAATTTATTTGAGGAGAATTATATTGGTGATTGATTTGAGTATTTGTTCATCTAATTCAACATTGATATTAAACTTCAATTTTTTACAACAGTCGAATTTTTTTAATGAAATAAATAGAATAGGTAGATCGAGTCGTATATCGAATAAATCGATAAAAAAAAATCGGAGTCATTCAGCGAAAAACCAGTAGTCTGAATTAAGAATATTGCCACAAAACTACAATCTCATGGAACACTTCCCGAAAAATCGGTGGACTGACATAAATCGGGGGACATTTAAAAAAAAAAAATTTCCCTGTCGTTGAGAGGCAGGAAAACTTGAGGGAAATATCCGATTAATTTTGAAGATCGATGGGTGTTATGATTGAATAATTCCCACGGGGATTGACAAGTTTGGGAAAATTTCGTTTCACCAAATGTCGACCGTGAGGTTTTCTAAATCGAGGTCAAACCGAATTTTCTACTTTAACCTACTGAATAGCCGGCGAATTTAGCTTTCTAAAGCGGTACGCTGGAAGACGACTCCACATACAGATAGAGATTTTATGCCTCGGTAGCACTAGAATTGAGTGGGTGGTATGATGATAGGACATGGGTTATTGGGTTGGCAGTGTTTTGAGACCTCTCAGTATTGCACTGATGTCGTCTTGCTGGCGTCGCGGAATATCACGGCGTCAAAATTAGTCGGTGGCTATGGGTATTCCACTAGGGATTTACCAAACGACCCCGTGTGCACTTAGCAAAACGTGTGTATCGTATCCCTGACGTCAATCCTCAGTGGCATTTCTCGGTTCAATGTTCGTAATTAACCGATCCCAGAGTTATTCACATACGGAGAGAAATATAACCGCCAAAAATAGCTGGTCTTGCAGTAAATACCGGATATTGCCCCTTATTAAGAGTCATGGGAAGTGGAGAAAAAATTACTGGAACTCCGCGCAATATTTACTGCGCAGAGCAATAAAATTTACTACTCTGATAATTAATTTTCTCCGATGTTCATTTAATGATTCATAATGGACTGGTAAGAAACGGAAATGTTCGTGGAAAATGTGGAAATTTAACTGGACTGCTCATAATTTTTTCGGGGACTGATGCCACACTTCGGGTGAGACCGTCCGCCTTCGGGAGTTTTCGTTGATCGGACGGCATATGATTGGTTCATCGCGTGGGCCTATTGTACGCATTAAATTAACGGAGATGAGAGCTAGGAAATTTTACTGGTCTGAACATTAATATTTGGGATTGGCTTGCAATGCTTCAACCTTACTGGTCAGTCCGGTAATTTTTACCGCGATTATCGTACGAGATTTTCAACGAAATTTCTCTGCATTCGAATAATAAATTATTCACGTACACCTGCATCGTTGGTTCATCCATTCACTGCTCATCATCACATTTTTTCAAGGATATCCTGGACTTTGGTAATTCCTTTCTCTTCAGATCACCCGTCAGGGGAAAAATTTCGTCATCTTTAAAATTAATTTTCTTACGCAAATTATCTTCTAATTCAAATCAGTAATTTTTTTCGTTTACAGATGAGAGAGATCTGGCATTGAAAATAAGTATTGGAAATAATGTAAGAAGAATGATGCAAGCAAATTATTTACAAGCAATTCCAATTCGTGGAATTGCCGTAATTATTTACATTTCGTTATGGAAAAATTTTCTAGGAACCGGAAGTATCTGAAGTGTGAAAATGCCATTGCCTTTCTAGGATTTTTTCAGCCCAGTTAATTTAAAGAGCATCCTGTTTGTTATTAATAAAACAAACATTCGCGATGTTTTAAAAACATTGACAAAACAAAACGTCAGAGTTCCCTGAAATACGATTCAATTTTCTCGTTTTCATATCAATTCAATTCGACAAATAAATTTCCAATTAGTCGTACCCATTGCGACTCGATGAATCATTGAAATTATTCAGTTTTATTATGAAAATATTTCTCGGAGATCAGAAATATCCGCTCGACGATTAATTAATTATTGCGTAAAATTGAATTAATGTCTCGTCTTTTTCGCTTCTGGAATTCATGTTTCGGGTATTTTGGAAGCTAGTACGATTATTTTTCAGTGATAAAAAATATCACTCCACTAGGAGAACTATCTAGAGCTGAAAAAACAAGCGGAAAGTATTTTGTCGCTCAAAATGGTTGCAATAGACGATAATGAGAATGTATCATTTTCCATTCATTCAGGAACGCGACACGACATTCAACGAATAATGACTGGTGTTTTTATACTTTACAAAGTTGCAATAACTTCAATGAAATCGTTCAAGAAGACATAAGAATTATGTGAGCTAACCGCCATCAAATATTCATTCCCGTCAACTGAATAATTTGAGATTTCAAATCCAACGACTGCACGAGAACAAAAATCGTAAAATTCTTCGTCTGAAATTCTCAGATTTTGCCTGACGGGTTGAAAGGGTAGTCAAGGATCAAAATAAAATGGCTTCCCTCAAGTGTAAACAAGTGTTCTTCAAATCAATAACAACAGCTACATTTTTGAATTTTATAGTTCTCTCAAACATCGATTGATTATACAAAACTATTGATGTGAGGAAAAAATGTCAAAAGAGTGTTTTTGTGGGGAATTTCGTCGGCTACAAAAAAGTCCTCTAATGTTTTTCTCTAAAATTTGTCTGGAAAGCGGTAAGAAATAACAACGAGATGAAAATTGTTGAAACTGGGAAAAGAAAATCGAAATTTCAAGTTCCACTGAAAATTCGAGGAAATTTTGTTCTTTTAACAGTAGGAACGTGAAAATTCCTGAACTTGTTTGACTCCTGAATGAAAACATAAATATTCAGTACTGCATTACATTGAATGTTCAATCGATTGAAAAACCAAGGACATGCTCACCGGAATTTTTCCGATTTCCAAGGATTTATTCCTCTAGAATTCTCATTTCCTGTTGAAGTATTTACACTTATTATTCGTTTACACTATTCTCAATGCATTAAAAAAAATCACTAGCATCTCAACCCGAAAACATAATTTTCTCGACTTTTCCAAAAGCATCGAAACGTAAACTAAAAAAGTAACCATAAAAAATTCAACAAAAATTCCCTAAAACATGATTTACTTGAAAACTATGAATAAACCCGCCATTGAGCCTGTAATTTCTACAAAAACTAGCCAACCCCACCGATTCCTCCCTCCGCGCGTCAATTCAATTCAATCAAATAAAAATGATTTTTTTTTCCGGAGTTTCGGAACTCCCGCGGAAAAATCGGCAAAAACCTTTGAAAATGGAATAGTTAGCGCGCGCATGTCACCCCGAATTTTCCGGAAAACCCACCCCCGTAGTTCCCGAGTTTTCACTGAACCGAGAGCTCATGTATACGAAAGGCGCGACAGGTTTCCGCGCGCACGTGGCGCAGCCACCAGCCGGTATATAACAAAACGTGCCACAGAGACGCCGGTGGGATTGAAACAAAGCCCGACATCTCCCCATCGCTTGAAATAATCTATAAAAGCCCATCAAAAACCCGGGAACATCCCCAACACCCCGAACAACATCCCAAACGAATCCCTAAAATCCGCATTGCATTCCAAACAAGCGGACACCCAAAGAAAATTCCAACTTGACCGATGTTTACCCTAGAACCTGCTGTCGTTGAACTTCATTGAAGTCGCAGCTATAAAAATACTTCCCCACCAGGGACACAAAACTGCATGCACAATTTTCAAGAAGTTGATGAAACAATTCGCTGTCGAGGAGACAGCGTTCACAATTTGGGAAAAGTTTGAGAGAAATTTGTGAGAATTTGCGGAATGAAGCCGAAGAAGAGAGTATATATAATCTCCTGATCTTTCGATTGTTCGAGAGTACAGAAGACGTGGGTTATCAATAAATCGTTAACTAGAGGAAAATTGGTCGTCAGCGAAACCTTGGGATTCGCACCAGGCAAACAAGAAAAATTGAAAAAAAAAAATAATAAAAACGGTCTTGGCCCCTTCCGGCAATTCCATTTCTCCCACCCCTCACATCCCCATCCGTCCCATCATTTTTTCTCTCCCACTTCTCTCCTTTTTCTGCACTTGGAACGCTGGAAAGATCCATTCTTCTCTCTTCTCCCATGCAACCCCGACTCCACACGTGTACACAGCAGTGCATTCATCGTGCTCCGCAGTCCCCCATTCTTTTCATCTCGCCATTTCAATTTTTCGTACTTTTCCACCCTCACTCAGCCCAGAGAGACCAATAGAAAAGAAATCCCTGTCTCAAAATTCACATCCCAAAACAAGCCACTAATTTCTACTCACTGGTATATCAGTAGCACCTGAAGAACGAGCGCTGCAATCCGGAGGTATCTTCCCTGATGATGCAGCTAGCACGCATTGCCGTCACATTTCACAATAATCTAACCGAAGAATAAAAACTCACACGTGAAAATATAACCCCAGGCTAAGGTAAAACATAGGGCCCGTTAATCCGACTAATCCAAAATAATAAAGGACAAGTCACTGGCCGTCGGTAGAAGGGAAAGGCGGTGAGCGCAGATCCCGCTGAATGTCGCGGATTCCTCAACTGAATGATGATTGCCGTCGTAATCGCGATAGCCAATCACCACCTGGCCATCGATATCCCTCACAAAGTGCGGACAAATGCGTAACACCACTGACTACCCAATCAGATCAGCTATTCCTCCCTAAAATCAGTCACTGACACCGAACCAAAAAACAGCCAATTCAACACACGTATCACCAAAGCCGAACAAGTCCCCGGATAATCACTGTCTGATGATGAACAATTCTGATGAAACAATGAAAATAATGGAAATAATGGAAATAATGAAAACAATGAAAACAATGAATAATATGGATCACAGTTTTCGGTAAACGCGTGTGTTTCAACATAAATAAAATGAAAATTAAAGATCCCACCTTGTTTATCAAGCCTGTGGGTCAAATTGTTTTGCGCAATCTGTTCACTCTATGTACAGGTACAACGGGTGTTATCTGTCAGTGGAATGATTACCTTTCGGTTGTAATAAAAAGTTGGGAAAGTTTGAGGACAAGGGGGTTGGCACAGGCGGTTTTGTCCACCGGCTGGATATGCGTTTGCGAGTTGCGTTGGGTCGCGCTGCGCTCCCGTAACTGCATCCGCGTCCACAAGCGCGGCTTGCGCGCTAGAAGCGCCGCCATCTAGCCCCACCACCAACTCCACCGCCGTTCATACCCCGTCACTCCTCGTTTCTCTGTATTACACACAACTACACCAACGTACATCAACCAGACAGCCATCCACCAACACACAACCATTGCTTTACCCCCTTTAACCCTCCGAGTCTCTACTTACCCGTATATACACATGCGCTTTAACCGCCTTTTCTACCGGTCATACTAGTGGCTAGCGGGTGCATCTTACATGGGACAATTATTATTTCGGCATGATTTTTCGGGGAGTCCACGTGCTCGAGAAGTCAGGGTATTCCCATTTTTTACACTCCGGTTGAAGGATCATCTAAGGAATTTTTCGGATTTCTTTGTCGGATTAGTTAAGGTTGTTGTGCAGGTGTTGGTGAAGGTATAAAAATTGATTGAAATTTTGACAACATTTTTTACGCGATAACGGATGCCTGTTTAAAATTTCGGATTTATTCACAACACCGTTTTGCGGTTATTAATTATTAGAGTTTTCAATTAACACTGCCTCTTACTGGAAAAATGAAAATTTCTGTAAATATAGTCCTAAATATAAAATTTTGTTGAAATTTGGAAAAATATTGGTCAAAATTTCATGACGAAAATTTGTTTTCATTAATTTTTCTAAACAGTATAATATTGATTCATGAAATCAAATACAATATAATAATTTTCTATGGCTATTACTCCAACTAATTAACTGAAAATTCATTGAAATTAGTTAATTGAAAATTAATTGCGATGAATATAACGAATTATAGAAAGCGTCATAAACTTTTGTTTTGACTATACGTGCAGAACATCCTTAATGATTCATGTCGATTTTTCGAGTCGAGGGGTTCAAGGCCAGGGGAGGGGGTCAGTGATAACGACGGTTTTGTGATTTTTAGGGGAGTGGAAGGTCCACCTGCGGTTTGATTTTTTTAATAAAAAAAAAATTTTATTGGATGAAGAGCAAGTTTGAGGGATATTCGAGTGGCGAGTTTGAATCGAGTAGAAGAATCGGCGGGAATCAGACCGTCAAGTCACAAAGGATTCAGGATCGACTTGACTCAAGTTAACCTTGACCCGAATCAACTCAAAAAGGACTGTCGCTTGATATTTTAACAAATCAAGCTTCATTTAAAATTTATTTTAATCAACCCGAACTTGACCCAAATCAATCAAAAAAATCGACTTCAATCACTGCAATGAGTCACATCGCCTCGTTCTGAGTCGAACGCTCCAATTTTCGGAATTCTATTCAATTCTTCCTGAAAAGAAGTCAAATGAATTTACACCAGAATAAATGAAATTATCTGATAACTGAAGGAAAACCAACGGGTATTTAATTTCATCCGGTATTAAAAATGAAATACGTGTTGCAAAAATCCATGATTTTTTAACAAACAAGGGACAAAATAACTCAGCCTATTGCTTTCATTTTCCGTTGAAGTGTGGAGGAATAGGTACACGTTTGGATTCTCGGTGGGAGCCTTTGATCGGGGTCCTTGGCACGGTGAATGGCTCTGGGATTTCCGTTGAACGAGATGGACCCAGTCGCGACTGCCTCGCCAACTCCAGCGTATGCACGAGTGAGAATCTAGATCACGAATTTTATGGGAAAATATTTCATTCAGCGCCTCACGTGTTGCGACTCCCCAACCCCCAGCGAATTCACCATTCTGTTTATTTACATTCATTACGATCTATCAATGAAATGTCCATCGGCATCTGACTGACACCAAAAAATCGAACAAAGACACGATAATTCCCCTGAAAACTTTAGCGCTCTCAAGGATTTCTCAGAAATATTTCAGCGATTATTTCACTCCTCGTCTCCAGTTTCGCGTCTCTTGAGCGACGGAGAGGGCATGGGCCCTCTTTTACCCGGGCGCATGCGCTCTCAGTGCAACTCGTGTCTTTCTCTCGTCTCCGAGTGGCCATGACACTTTTAATAGAAGACAATTCGATGCATTGTGACGCCGGTTTGAATTTCAAATTCAACCGACAATTCCATGTATACCGAAACGTCTTCTCGCAAGTGATCCAAAATCATTCGATTAAAATCAGATAGAAATTTATTTCCACTCCGGGAGAATTCCAATTAGCTCGAATGCCGGTTATTGAAGGGACGAGATCAATTGATCGATTCAAGTACAACATAGAAATATTTCGCGTTTTATTGATGTTTTCGTTCCTCTCAACAGATTTGACCGATTGTCGAGAGACAATAACAACTCGAATAAAATTCTGTATAGGTTATGCATTCTTTTGTTCTCTCAATTAATGAAATTTGCTTTTACATTTCATCGAGGCTCCCCGGAAATACTTTTCCGCACAAAGACGCGTGTTGTTCTGCGTCAGAAAAGCCCGAGGTGAGATTTCGTGAAAAATCAGTTCAATTAGTCAGTTACGTCGAGTCCACTGGAGCGTGAGGATCACTAAAATAAATTCCTCCTTCCCCCACCCTCACATTTTACCATCAACTCACGCACGTTCAAACAAAAAAAAAAATATTCCCACCTACCCGTTTTCCAGTGGCCTAACCCCAAAAATAATTGACTCCCATTCAATCTCTAACCTAACCTAGCAAAATTATTTTTCCGTAATGGCAATACCAATGGACTCTAATCAGAAGTTAAAAATCGAAATGCATCTTAAAAAAAATTCACCAGAAAAAATGCAACGGCAAAAGATTAGATATCGTGTGTCACGTCTTGACGCCTGCACGACTGTAGCCGGGGGATTGCGCCTCTTGTTAATGATTGCGCAATCATTTAAAATTAATGTGTTTTTCAGAAAAACGGGACATCGAGAGGTTTGCGCCATTGCACCAAGAGCCTGCACACTCGCCAGCGCGAAACCGATTCCCTATACTTGACATTAAATTCCACCGCGGCCTTCTAAGCTCCCGCTCCCGCCTCTCCACCGTCGGTGCTGCCATCATCCACTCTCACTCCCTCTTACCCACTCCATTCGAATATATTTTTGTTGTTGTCTCTGTCGTGGCAAGCGTCCGTTTTGCTAGTTATATACGAAACGACACAAAACGCGTTGGGAGCCTTTCTCTTCTCGGGCGAACGAGCCAATGCCTAAGCCACGTCCCGAAAAATGTCCGCCCACGGCGATCACGGAGGTGGTTTTTCGAGGTCTCCCTAGTCCGCCTAAGCCTATGACACACTCAATAATGGGTACCACCATTTTTTAAGCTATTTATCCGACACCCAATTCGGTGCTATGTTCACTTATAATACCACGAGAGCTTCGATATTATTCGATATTTCTCGATAGATTCGTTGAGAACAAATCGACATGTTATGTTTTCTAGGTTAAAAAATTACGGGGGCCATTTTTTTTTAAATATGACAAGATGTGACATGACTTTGTTTGAAGGGAACCTGGAAAATAGGAAATATCCCATTAATTTCGAAGCTCGAGTTCGATTTGGGGGTTATTTTTTTCGTTCATAATTTATTCCTGTAAGTGAGCAACGTCGGACAGTTAGTGAAATATTCCGGGGAATAAATTATAGCAATTGAAATTCTATGAAAATATATTTAAAAACATGAGGGGAAGTCATAAATTTTATTGACCAGCGATATTGGGAATGAAAATATATTTTCAAACTTGAACACTTCGAATGCGACTCTAAATGACAAATGCAAAGAATAAAAGCTGTCGTTTTTTTATTTATTTTATAATACATTTTTTTTTATAATAGTCTTCATGCAATCTTTTAAATATCAAGTACCCAAAATTATCGAAAATTGTTTATAATTACAGATTCTCAGGCAGAAGAAAAAAGCTATTGTTGATCTCAAAATTTCAGAATTCAGTCTTTCATGTTATCTATCTATGATATTTCCAAATCGGCTTGAATTGTAAATCTCTTTATGGAAATCGAATATCAAAGTGCAATGAATTCCTAATTGCCATAATCCCCGCAAATGATTCCCGGAATTTCCCTGACTCTCCGCGATTTTCCCAATCCCTCATTAAAAGAAAAACATTTCCACGGAATACATCTCTCCAAACCAATACCCATCCCAAATTTGGTCAAAAAATCAGAATCCATCCCAAAAAAAAGTCTCATTCTCAAAAATTCAAAGAAAAATTCCACAACCAATACCACTCCCTCCAAAAATATTCCTAGCCCGCCCCCCACCTCCCCACCCCGGAAAACCCATTCTCACGCGAATAACAATCCCTAAACCAATAAATCACGATTCCCCCACAGAGTCCCGATATCGATCTCCCATTCTCGCATAAAATTATCAATAATCATCTCAATACAGGGATAATTCCCGGTTGGTGCCAGTGAAGTAATGAATTAAAAATTAATGGAAGGTTATTAAATTGCAACAAAAGAAGGTACGTGATCGGAGGTCTGCATGAGTCTCGAGAGCTAATGGCACGATATCGTGGATACCAATGGCAGGGGGGTTGAAGGGGGGGGGGGCGGAGGGGGAGTGCCGATAGAGGGGAAATAAGGGGTGAGGAAAGGGGGCCGCGGGGCAAGGAAGGGGGGAGGTTTCATTGGTTACAAACTCACACGTTCATGTGTGCATTGAACATGTGTTTGGTACGAGGGGTTCGCGTGAGCGCACACATCTTTCAACCGACGCGACTTCCAGGGGCCCCCGTACATACATCACACACACACACATACATACGTAAAATCCCAACGGTTCACACAACTTAACTACAACAGTGCGTGCGTCGATGCCACGTGACGTCTAAATTCACGTCGGCCATTTTGGAGCATGATTCATTTGTTTAGAATGGGTCGGATAGTAGTAGGAGGCGGAGCTTCGGGCACACAAAATCTTCCCGGGCGTTAGATTCGAGCCGAAATGAGATACTCCGTAATTTTCAGCAAATGTTCCCTCCTGATGCCCGTTGAATTCCCCTGATGGAAAGCCCCCCCTCTTCTCAATTCTCTTGCCTGCCC